ACCCGCAGGAGCTGAGCAGGAAACGCCCCACAGGGTGAGGAAGCCCCTCACCCAGGCCGCCTGGAGGTCAGAGCTAGAGTAGGGTGCAGCTGGGCTCGCTCTTCCCAGCCATACCGTGGAGACAGCAGCATGACCACGGTACAGGCTGAGTGCAGGGCCCAGCCGTCCTGCACATGGGGTCTGCCCTTGCCACTCGGGGAAGCGGACCTGGGCTTCCTCCAGATGGGGCTGAGGCCTGGTGCCAGCCATCTGCGCAGTGCCGTTTTGGGAATGCCACTGCCTCCTGGGGCCCGTGTCTACAGATCCCCACACTGACCTCCCACGGTGCTGGGAGGACAAAGTGGGGGCCATTGGTGCCTTCATCAAGTACTTACTAAGCATCTACGACTTTGCGATAAGTGCAAAGCAGGTGTGGACCTGCCCTCCTCGGGCGTCCAGTCCGGAGAGTGAGGACAGATGTGAGCTGACAACACACATGCCGTCCACAGCTGGGATGGGAGAGGCTGCGTTCGGCGCTGTGAGCACATCTCACAGGGACCAGGCTTGTCCAAGACGGGGCTCAGGTAAGTCCTCTACCAATGGGCCTATTTCAACAGCGAGGATGGTCTGGTGAATACATTATGAAGCAGGTATTCCATTAATCTTTTCTTACTAATACTGCTGAAAAATGGTTACGTGTTATTAGGGATGCTGAGAAGAAGAGAGGCGGGAGCGAGCCGGACCCCGAGAGGCCTCCTTGAAGGATGGGGGCTGGGCACCACTTCCCAAGGTGCACCAACGGGTTAAAGTCATTTTCATTAAAATTTAAATTTCAGCAGGCGCTGGCTCTCCCTTCCCGTCCTTTGAACGTTTGACTGGCAACCATTTCATATTTCAATCTCGGCAGAACAAATTGAATTAGATGTTGAAACCAAGCTCGGCTCTGTTCACCAAAGCCTGCACGCCTGGCTCACACTAATCCTTTCCTAGACGCTGCAGAGCAGGCGGGCGCGGCCACAAAAGACAAAAAGGACCACGGAGGCGGCACGGGAGAGGAGGGGACATAGGGCAGAGGCCGCTGGAACCGTCTCCCACCCAGCGCATGGGTCTCAGGGCCAAAGGCCCAGGAGACTGCGTCCACCCAGCGAGGAAGGCCCATGTGAAAGCGCGGGAGGCGACCTGGGTGTCTGTCCTTGCCTACGGGCGCCTCGCACACAGGGGACGCAGCGGGTGTTGACGCGTGGATGAATCAGCGAAGGAGGGTGAAGACTCGCTCACCAACCTCTGCCTCTGGCCTGTGCCCTTTCCTCCCCCTGCAGGGTGACGGTGGCTGCTCTCCCCACCCCTTGCCGAGAAGTGACAAAATGCCGGGAGCTGAGCTCACTGGCCTTGCGGTCCTTCAGCCTGTTCCCGGTGGAAGCCAGCCGAGGATGCCAGCTTGTTTCTAGGTGGGCGGAAGGCAAACCTCTGGGCCTGCCTGGGAGTCCTACTGGGGCAATGGGACCTCCCCATGCCCGCTGGCCCTTTCCTGAAACTGTGTAGTCTGTGGCTGGTCTAAAGGCACGGGCCAGGGGCCACGTCTGGCTTTCAGAGAAGTTCTGCCACTGCGAGCCTGGAGCCCCTGCCCACGTGGGACCCCTAGTCAAAATCAGCGCTGGGCAGTCTCTCCCACAGAGGCCTGGCTGCATCCCAACAGTACCAGCTCATCTGGGTTGGGCTGTGGCTCCATGCAGAGATAACCGGGCACACGACATGCTGGTCCGCCCACTCTGGGGCCAGTGGGCAGAGGGGGCCCTCCGCCAGACCCCTTCCTAAATGCACAGGCTCCTCTCCAGCATGGCGCACTCCTCGAGAGGCTCACCCCGCCCCACCCCAGGCTGGTGTCTGTGGGGGGCTGCTACACAAGCTTGCCTCCCTGCTAAAGAGCAATACTCCTGACAACAATGACTCCCACGCATGCAGCGTTCAGTCTGCAGGCTGCTTTCTATGCACGACCTCCTATTTATCCTTTAATGAATCCAGCGAGGCAGGAGGTCTTGTACCCACCTGAAAGAACACAAGGCTCAGGGATGCGGAGACTCCAGATTCCAACCCAGGTCTTCGGAATCCTGGCCTGAATGTTCTGTCCTCCTCCAACCCCCACAGGGTTCCCACACTCACCCCTGCTCCTCCTTAAGGCCCTGTCTGGACAGGCCTGTGGCTCGCACCTGTAATCCCAGCACTTTAGGAGGACTGCTTGAGCTCAGGTGTTTAAAACCAGTCTAGGCAACATAGTGAGACCTCATCTCTATATAAAAATACAAAGTAAGCTGGGTGTGGTGGCGTGCACCTGTCATCTCAGCTACCTGGGAGGCTGAGGTGGGAGGATCGCTGGAGCCCAAGAGGTCGAGGCTGTGGTGAGCTATGATTAGCCTGGGGGACAGAGCCAGACCTATCTCAAAAAAAAAAAAAAAATAAGGCACCTGACCACTTATCTCCCTCCTGCAGGCTGGCTGTGCACAAGCTGCAGTAGAGAAGCCAGGGACCCCCTCACCCATCCAAGGCTGGGCCCTTGGAGGAGACACCCAGGACAGAGGGATGGGGCAGGATGCCCTGGCTTTACCCCTCCGCCAGCCCCCAGACGTCCACTGGTCCCGCCACTGGCCGGGGTGAACACAGGCCATTGAGAAGGCAGTGTGGGAAACACAGGCCACAAGGGCCAGGCCTCCCCCGAGCCATGCAGGCAGGGAAGGAAGTGAGGGCCGCGGGTACGGGCCAGCCCCAACTCTGGAACCAGCCGGTCCGGCTCTCCTCTGCTAAGCAAGCCCCCCGAGCCCATGGGCCTGGCTGGGCTCAGTGCCCTGGCCTTCTGGAGGTGCGTGTGTCTGCTGAGCTCCCGGGGTCCCTCGGCTCTCGGCATCACCTCCCTCTGGTGCTCACCCTGTCCAGCCTTCACCGCAGTTGAATTCCCGGCTCTCTTCTGACCGTGTTGGGGTCACAGCCCCTCCGAGAAAGGCATGAGCCTGTCCCCAGCCCCCGTCCCAGTTCCCACACAGACCAAGAGGCCCATGGCTGCTGTGGATCAACCACACCCAGGTCTGTTTCTGGAATTTTTCTCCTATGCCTTCTAGGTGTCTAGGTCTGCCCATGTCCCGACATCCTTCAAACTCGCCCGAAGCCCCTGCCAGAAAGCTTGAAGGCTTGGAGTCTCCCGATTCACCCCCAGCACGTATGGAGGTAGTCCTCAAAAAATGCCCTCACTGGCTCCTCTTCTTCAAAGGAAGAGGAGGAAGCCCCTCCTCTGGGCCAGGCCGGCTGCACTCTGCCTTACTCTATGGGTACCTCGCCGGACTCGACCGCGTTCCAGGATAAAAATGATTATAATAAAGATCATAACAGCATCTGTAGCTCCTGTTTAGAGGAATCTTTTTCGAGGGGTAAAGGGCTCCGCATCACTGAGATCCCTGGTCTAGTGCCTGGCTGCCCCAGGCACTGCGTACTAAGTGTTGCAAGGACGAGGCTCCAGGACGAGGTCGGGGTCTGGGCCGGGCTTGGAGAGAAGTTGGGTGTGGCTACTACAGATGAACTGCTCAGGGGACTCTCTCTTAGTGAGGAAGTGGAACTTAAACGAAGATCTCAAAGGAAAAGAAAGGAGCCAAGCAGGAAAAATGTGGGGGAGGGGGTATCCCAAGAGCAGGAGGAGCAGGGGCAAAGGCCTTGGGGTGGGACCTGCGAGTGGGCAAGGTGGGACCAGGTACCGGGCGAGGGCATGGCTTTACTCTCCATGCATGGGGCGGGAGGCTCTGGGGACCGAAGCTGTAGACTGACACGATCCAGATGGGGGCCCAGCGGGTTACATCAGCCACACCTGGGAGAGTGCTCCTGGACGGGGAAGGGGGAGATGAGGGTGGTGTCTGCAGTGGGTGGTGTGAGGCAGTGGCGGCACCCTGAACTCTCTGGGTGTGGAACGGAATGCTGTTTGCTGCCAGGTCTGACAGTGAGTGCCCAGGGCAGGAGCGCAGCAGCTGGGTTTGGGGAGAAAGAGAGGAGGGGACACAGTTTCTCACTGTCCTCACTCCCCACGGCCCATTTGCTCACCTGCTTTCTCTTCTGGACACATGGAGGGCCGTGAAGCATGACGGGAAAGACCCAGCCTCTGGGGCCAGAAAGATCTGATTCATGTCACTCCTGCTGTGTGGCCCTGAACAGGCACTGAAGCTCTCTGGGCCTCGCCATGCTTCCATGATGGAGGTGCTCTTTGCACCATCCCATTTTGAAGGTGAGGAGACTGAGGGCACGGGTTGAGTCACCCGCCTAAGCTCCTGAGGCAAGTGGGTGGGGGGGTCCTCACAGAGTCCCAGGTGTCTAAACGCAGAGCCCAGACTTCTCACGAAACACCAAGTCGTGGATGCTGCCGAATCCTGCTCTGGGGAGGTTCCAGCGGCGTCATCCAGTCCAGTGAGGCTGGTGCCAACTGACACCTGCCTTCTGTACTGAGCCCATGAGTCTGCAACTTAGTTTTGGTGGTCACCAGCCACCTGGCTCTGGTGGTGTGGAAATGTGAGTACAGACTGTGTAGGCCAGAAGGTTCGGCCGGAAGAAGCCACACGGCCCTCAACGGGACGGGCGGGGGAAGGGGTGGGCCGGTCCCCAGACCTGTCACACTGGATGGCGGCCGGGCAGCCTGGCCACCTGGGGACCCAGCCTACCATCAGGCCCAACCTGGAAGACTACGGTCGGTGTGAAGTCTGCAGGACACCCCCTGAAAACGGAGAGCAAGCCACTCTGGGGTTTTGTGTCGCTTTCCATTAATTCTCAGGGAGAGGCTAGGATTACAAGGGGGTGCCTGTCCTGTAAGACTCGGGGAGCACCTTGGCCTCACAGGGCTGCTGGCACTGTGTGGCCTTACTTGGGTTCCTGGCCGCTCTGAAAATGGAAGATGGAAAGCTTATCCCAGAAAAATTCATAGGCACAAAGTCAGAAGATCTGTGGCCTGTCCCTAGGCCCCACGATCCCAAACCAAGAGTAAAGGAGACTGCCAGTGAGGATCTGTCCAGAGCTTTACTTGGCTTGATCCCTTAATCCCAGCACCACTGGTCCGAGGCAGTCACGATTATCACCCCACTTCATGGAAAGAAACACTGAGGGCTGTCACTGGTCTGAGGTCGCAGCAGGGAACGGTCAGGGCACTGCAGCTCCTTCCTCCCCGCCATACCCTCTAGCTGGTGTCAGGTGCTCCGGGGGAGGCTGCGTCTCAGGCTGGTAAAGACACGCGCAGAGCCCCAAGCCTGAGAGAAGCCTTGGGATGCGGCTTGCCAGGGTGGGGACCTCGATGCGTTTCGCAAGCCCAGCCTGAAGGCAGGATGCGTCGCCAAGAGTGACATCGCCGGGTTCTGGTGGGGCCTGGCGCCTAGTTGGAGCGTGACGCTTCCTGAGCCACCCGTAGCCTTGGCTGATGGGAGCAGGGCTTGTGGTCCCAAGCGACGAGGGTGGGCAGGACAGAGGCCAAGTCCCAGGCTGTGCGCAGCTCCTGGACAGACGGAGGTGGGAGCCCTGGCTCAGCAGCCTGGACAGGGTGCAGGAGCGAGGCTGATATGCTCAGTGCCACACCCAGTGTGCTGCGTAGATGCTCATGTGGATTTCTCATAAAACCTTACAAGGCAGGAACTAGTTAGTGGGAGAAGGCTGGGCTCAGAGAGGCTGGGGAACTGGGCTTGGGTCTTCCATGAGCGTAGGGGAGCGGGGTTTCAGGTCAGACACCCTAATGTCAGTAGCCCTCGCTGCGCAGCTCTGGGTGGGGACGGAGCAGGGGTCCTCACGTCTGGTGTTGCTGTCTACCCTGGGGCAAGTCCCCGAGTGTCCCTGCACCCGGCCTTCCTGTCAGCAGATGGAGGCCACCGGGAGGAGACGCAAGCCGGGGCTTATGCAGGAGGCGCCCAAGCCGGGCTCGAGGCCCTGCTGCCATGGGCTCCTGCGTCCAATGCGGAGCAGGTGTACGGCGTCGGCTGGCACGTGTCGCCATGGGGAGGCCCAGGAAGCCCAAGGCCTTCCTTGTCCCCTCCAACCACCACAGACCGGCCCAGGGGGCCGCTCCTGCCCACCCTGCCCACACGGTGGGGCGCACAGACGCCAGAGCGGCTGCCCCAGTCCCCAGGGCCCCGGAGCCACGTACCCGCTTGGTGCCAGCTCACAGCTGAAGGGTTTGCTCCTCACCGTCGCCGTCACTGTCTTCCAGCTGCTGCAGGATCTCGTCCAACACTACAGACCGCTTTTTCTTCGGGGGCTCTGTGGGAGCCCAGATGGCAGGAGAGGAGACAGAACAGCCAAGAGGGTTGGAGGCAGGAGGAGATGGCAGGAGGGAGGGAAACGAGCAAACGCGGGGGGCGGGGGGGGCCCAGAAAGGAACCGAGAGAACGGAGGGGGGCGTGGGAGAGAGAGAGACACCAAGAGGAAGGAGAGAACAGAGACAGGAGAAGGTGGGGCGGAGGGGAGAGGATCACAGGAGGGGAGAAGGAAGAGAGGAAAGCGATGGTGGAGGAGCACGGGAGGGGAGAGGGGGAGAGAGAAACGCTGGGCTGAGCCTCCAGCTTCCCCATGCAGGCGCCGCCAACCTCGCAGCCCCACTCTCCTGTCTTCCAGCCTTCCCTCCTGTCCTCCCCCACAGAGCAAAAGATCCTTTCTAGCAGGAGAGGAGGGAGGCCTCCCGTGTGAGCTGCCTCCTCCCACAGGCCAGGGTTGCCTTGGCAGAGCTGGCCACCTTCAGGGAGGCTGAGCCAGGGCCAACCCATGGCTGGAAACCAAGAGGAAGCTGCTCTTGCTTCTTCGACCACAGGCTCTCATGAAGTTGAAAGGGGCAGACATACAGTAGGTGCTCAATAAACACTGGGTGACGAGAACAGACGCAGAACTCAAGGATCCAGAGGAGGCACGGAGGGCGTAACAATTAGAGGTGGTTTTGGAGAGGAGGGGTTATTCAACTTGGGCCTTGACGAATGCACAGAGGTTTTCCGCACGAAGGCGGAATTTGGATGTGTGGCCTACAGCGGGGAGCTATGACAGGGCTTGGTGAGCTCAGCAGCACACACTCCGCCTGGGCTGTGAAGACCCTGACCGCGTATCTAGTGTGTGCTATGGCTCTGCTCCTCTCAACAACCCACAGGGAGGCATTATGCCTCTTACAGGGGAGGGCGCCGAGTCACAGACAGGTAGATCTAAGGTCAGCCTGCTAGGATGTGGCAGAGCCAGGATTCAAACCCAAGTCACACCTAAGCCTCCAGTCTTTCCAATTTTCATGAAAGTCACTGGTGCTGGCTAGAAAATGCCAGGGAGTCCAAGGGCGGCAGGAGAAGGTGGGCTGGTCCCCTTGCAGCCCAGGAAGGCAACGGGGGTGGGGGAGGCTGGGCTGGGAGCTCCCCAGGCCCCCGGCCTCCACCTCCCCGCGGGCTGGAAGCCCTCTGGGTCCCCCGCCTCCATCCAGGCTGGGAGCTCCCAGCATCCCCCAGGGCCCAGCACAGCGCCCGGCCCAGAGATGAAGCCACTCGGCTCCCAGCTGGGTGGAACTGGGCAAGTGGCTTGACCTCCTTGGGTCTGCTTCCTCATCTCGTGACTTGCGAGTGGATCTGGACACTGACCCCTTCTCACCTTCTCCACGGCTGTGCCCGGACCCAAGCCCCGCCTGCTTCCTCGCCCCCTGGGGTCCCTCTAAAACAAGTGTGGCAAGTCTCACCACCTCCTAAGAGAAACCCTGGGTCCTCCCAGGCCTCCCTGGAGCACCCCTCCCCCCAGAGACCCCCACACCTGTAGCGCCCCAACCCCCTCAGCCCCCAGGCCCCAGCGTGTCTTGCCTCAGGGGCTGCAGCAGGCTTGCTAGGCCGGGGTGCTGTCCCCTCTCCGCTGCGTCCCTGCTTAGCACACTGGCTGCTGCCCAGTGGCCTGTGGCATGGCCTGAATGGGGAAAGGGGATGGAGCCCTTGGCAAGGAGGTGTGGGGGCCGCCTCAAGGCCTGGCAGCTGCACCCGTCATTGCTAACCACGAAAGAGAGAAGGGGCAGAGGTAGCCAGGGCGGGGGGCTGGTGGCCGAGGGCTCAGACGCCACTCCCTTCCTCCTTGCACTCACAATGGCCTCTGGAAATCCAATTTGTGGGCAGGTAATGGTAACTGAGAAATAGTGGGGACAAAACGGTGTGGTCCTGTCACAGGCGTCCCTCCACCTGCCACCATTCCTCCACTGCCACCTGCCACTGGGGGGCGGGCCTGGTTTGGGTCCCAGGGTGGCTACGGCTATGGTGGCAGCTATGTCTTCTGGCATTTTCTGTTCTGGCATTTCGCTTCTGAGACTGGCAGGGGCAGGTGCTATCCCTTCCTTATGTCGGCTCAGCCTTCAGGACAGACCCGAACCCAAGAACCCTGCTGCCTCCCTCCAGTCCCCCAGGCCAGGCCTCTGTCCTCCCTCCTGTGTGAGGCCCTGGATGGCAGCCAGAGGGTCTTGTTCAACGCCCCCCAAAGTGCACCAACTCAGTCGGGGAAAAGCGAAAGCTGCTGTCGGCCACCAGGGCCACAAGAGGAACACGGAGCAGGCCCCACCACCTCTTTGAGCTTCTCTCTTGGCCACCTGCTCTGCTCTAGGAACCTGGGCTCTTGGGCCCCTTCCTGGCTCCTGGCATCCACTGCTCCCACCCCGGGACCTTTGCACTACCTATTCCCTGTCTGGAAAGCCACGGAGCCACTGTGGCCTCACCACCTCAGCGAAGCTTCCCTGATGCCCTTATTTAAAATCTCGAGTCCCTTGCAACCTATCCTGTCCACCTCCCCACACTCTGCCTCCCAACCTCGCAACGTTTCGCGTCTTCCTCTGTCCCCTTGCTGGGATGTCAGCTCTGGGAGGCAGGGCTTTTGTTTGTCTTGGCCCTGCTTTGCTCCCACTGCTCACCACGGCACCTGGCATGCAGCAGACACGCAGTACACATGTGTGGAGTGACTGGCTGAGTGAGTGACGGCCAGGTGAGGGCCAGGGAGCGTAGGCTGCTTAGGGCACACAGAAGCGGGCACCCGGACGCCGGGAGCGCCTGCTCTGGTTGGGCAGGTGGCAGCGGGGCGGGTTTGGCCCCAACGAGAGCGCTGTGGCCCAGCAGGGGGAGACAGAAGGAACCAGATGACTGTGCCTCAGTTTCCTTACCTGTAAAGTGGGGACACAAGGGATTATGGTGAGGTTGAAAGGGGTAAAAAGAGTAAAAAGAAAAAAAAGTAAGAAGAGCAAGCGTGGCCCCTGGCTGGGCTTGAAGACACCGACTTCACCTCTCTCTGCCATCGCAGCAGCGAGCGCCCACAGGGCGGGCACGTCTGTATGGAGGTGGGTGTAGGGAAGAATGAAATGACCTGGTTCACCCAGGCCAAAGGAGGCCTGACCCCACCTCCTCAGCGGGTGGGCTGGAAACGGAGGCAGGGGTCACCCACAGGCTCACTGTGGCAAGGGACGTGGCAGGCGCGCTGGTGGTTGCCAACCCCACATGCTCTGAGGTTCCAGCCCGGCCACTGACTGACTGAATGACCTTGGGCGGGTCACTACAGTCCTCTGGGCCTGGCTTCCTGTCTGTACAGTGGGAACAGAAAGAGGACCGCCCTCGTGGGCAGCCATGAAGACTACCAAGTTCACAGGTGGGGACGCCGCAGGGCCCGTGACGCAGGGAGCCACCACGGTGCTCCTGGGTCTGCATCTGGCTCAAGTACCCTGCCAGGTCCAGGCTGGGCCCCCGGCTGCCCCCTGTGGGACATGCCAGGCCTGAGTTCCCACCAGATGACACCCAGCACCCCCGCCATTCCTGGCTCTGTGCGGAGCACCCTGCTTGCAGGGAACAGCTGCTACGCTCCCACTTCCCCGACATCAAAAGCCTCAGTGGGTTTTCACCAAACAAACATAATGCAGAACCGGGGAAAAAAGGTGTAAAATAAATAAACGAAACAAGCTGTGCATTTTCTTTCAGTATTACAGCTGCACCCGAAGATAAACAACAAGTGAATGTCACCAAACATCAATACCCGAGAAATTAACTTGACAAAAAGCTCAGCCGTCCCCCGACAACCCCCCAGTCCTGCCCCCCTCTCCAGCCACCATTTCTGCATTTCTGGAGTTCCCACCTAATGATTTTATTTTTCAATTAATTCCTTGACAGAATGCCAGCCTGCGCCGCTCCCTTCCCTGGCTGGCGCCATCGGCCCTGTGTGGAAGGCACAGGCAGGCAGAGAGAAAGGCACAGGCGGGGGCCCGACGGAGGTGGAACATCGAGAAGGCAAGCAGGGGGAGAGGAGGGGGGAGAGGAGCGTGGCTGATAGGGAGAAGGGATTCTGAAAGGAGCCCTGAGCGGAGGTGGGCGTGGACGGGAGGGAAGGGTAGACAGCGGGCCAGGAAGCCCGAGAGGCGTGGGGTGGAGCCAGCTGCCAGGGTCAAACCCTCTGGCTCCTGGCTGGGCAGTCTCAGGTAAGTCACTTCACCTCTCTGGACTCCAATTCTGCAAATGTGCAGGGCCCACTGCCTAGGGTGCTTGAGAGTCTGAAAAGAGTGAGGACACATACATAAGGCTGTCTGTTGCCCAGGGCCAAGCACAAGCAGGCTCCCGCTCCAGGCTGCTCACCCTCACCACTCCCCATGGAACGAGTTGCCGATAGTGTGTGGCAGGCACACCCTTCCTCTCCAGCGCAGACCGAGTGCCAGCCCCAGGGAAATGCAGCAGCCACGTTCAGTGCCCCCTTTGAGGGCCAATGGTTCGAGCCCCAGCAAGCGGCCTCCACCAGGGATCCAGGTCCCGGGTTCTTGGCTCCCTGGGAGAAGAGGTATGTGCCACACAGCTCGGGACCCTGGGGGTTTGAGCTCCAGATGGCCCTTCCTGGGACTGGCCATCATGGCCCCCTGGACTGGCCCTCCCTTCCACCCATGGTTCCTGATTCCTGGATCACCTCCCAGGTACCTGCTGTCCCTAGATCAACACCTTGGGGCCCGTTTCCTGGGGGAACGGAGACACCATTGCGAAGAGGGGACCCCCTGGGATGACACAGGCTTCCCTCTGCCTGCCCACTGGAGAGTGCCTGGATCTGCTGCCATGATGGACCATGAAGAAAACAAACGTCATGCATCCTAGCTTCGCTGGAAACCATAATGGCTAACCTGTAAGAGTGTGGCGACCCGGCCCCCATGCCCAGTCCCTTCCCTGCCTGAAGGCAGCTGACAGGCGGGAGGCCACACTGAGGAGGTATTTGTGGCCGTTCCTGGAGGGCCCCCAAGTTGGCTACTC